TTTAAATGGTGATAGATCCCGTAGCTCTATGTTCGACGTACAACACAAAATTTAAAAAAGACGTCCAAATGAAATTGTAGGGCGAAATTCGATTGTAGGTCGCACCAAAGAGCTACGGAACCGCAGCTACACGTACACGAAAATTCTTTCTAACGTTCGATTTTGAATTGTTAGAATTTGCTTTGTTCGAGTTTGGAATGTAACTGGACAAATTTCTGTACCCTATTTTGTCGCTATCTGCTGATATCAATGTGCTTTCTAGCAGAATCAATATTGAATCTTCGGCGTTCATTTGTCCGAGAATGCAAAGCTTTAAACATAAGCCCAGACGTCCTTTTGTTCGTAGAGACGTTGTCAAAATAGTGTGAAAATTTCAAGACAAAGTGGGAGCTAATTAATTTTCAATCTTTCTGACAAACCAAAAACCACCAACGGAGATAATGCCCGTTTTAAGAAAGTGATGTTAATCGTCTACAAAAATGGCTATTGCATCACGACGACATGCCAAAATTCATCATACACCGACGCTTGCTGATGTTCAATCGTCAGATAAAAAATAAAAATATTAAAACTGTCATCAAGCACATGAAGAATTTGATTTTAGTGTCGTGTGTATTGCAGGTTAAAGGGTTGAAACGTAACAAACTGACTGAAACCAGCACCGGATAGAAATTAATAGACACACTTGCTAAAAGGTTACCTGGACATTTCAGCAGCAGTTTGTTTGCTATTTAAACCCAACAGGCCGTACAATTAACATGAAAAGATTTACAACCTTGATAAAATTTATAACATCCCGAGATGTCCCCAACACGTCAGATCTTCCATATACAAGGGGATGCCCTTGATATGGTGGTGAGGGCGTAATACTTATGTTACTGAGTAGTAAAAACGGAACATCAAGAACCATGATTTTGTAGTTCTGGTAATATTTCAATATTTGTCAAAATTGATCAGACAACATAGGGGATGTGTGGTCAGTCAACCGAATGAAGTTTTACCCAGCAATGGCAAGTTTACACCTTGTAAATCTGATAGGCAGCTTTTATTACTATGTATTTGCTCTTGTGTGATACTTATCAGATACTTATTAGAAAAGAAGTTCAACAAAGTTTTAATGTAATACAAATACAATTTTGTTGGAAGACAAGATAACAAGTTACATACCTTAATGAAATTGTGCCACGTTTTGTAGTAAACAATCAAACTTTGTCTTAATTTACAGAAAGTTATGTGATTTTCTCAGATTCCGAGTTACAGAAATAAAAAAACTTAATGCAACACTCATTGAAGCAATTAGAAGAAATTGGTGGGGGGTATTGAAAGTTAGTTTTATTATGGCAGCAAATAATGGTGCCACACCGGCTCCTAAAGTTCTCAGTCATGATACTGAGATCGTTAACAACAAACTTCAATCATCAGTTTGTGCGAAATCAAGCTACACCAAGCTCATGCGCCATCAGTGCTAATTTTCTGTTGAATGGTTTTAACTCTTGTCATCTGTTCAGGATATTTCACATCTTCATGGTTTTCGATTCCACGTGTTCTGGAAAGTTTAATATTTTGTTCATATTTAAGTAAATGTCGGTTAGTAGTTGATACTAAGTAAATGCAACAATAGAGATTGTGGGGCTTTAATGTGATAGAAAGATATTGAAAACATTTTTTATATTTTATTACCAGTTTTTCAAATCTACTTATAGGAAACTTTTTCTATGAACAACGATAATTACTCAGATAAAAGTGTGCTATCATCAACTACAAGAACAAAAAACAGCTCGCATTTGTCCTAGTCTTGCATGTATACATACCTGGAAGATCAACATGACTGTCAGAGTTGTATTTATCAACATCATATACTAAGGCAAATAGTTTAATTGGTGGAGGTCCTGGTTGGCAATGTTTGCTGAACGCGATACATTAGTAAAGCTGTTTGCTCTGAAACATGCCTTTACTCAATTCATGGATGGCTGTGATCAAATCATCTATTACATAAATGATTGTTGCATGTAAATAACATACTGACAGTTATATGTAGACAAGTTTATGTAATTATCAGAAACAAGTTTTTGATACATCCCTTTCTGACGCTATGCTAATTGTATATCAATTTCATTAATATGCATATATTGTAAAACAAATCTGTTTGCCAATTTAATGCACTCAAGTAAAAGCATTGATACAAGGTACAATTTGATAGGTTGAACAAATCAACACAGACACAAAGTTCGCTTTCAGATTGACTAGATGGCAAATTAAATTGAATAAAATATTGCAATATGTTTTTGTCTTTTGATGTGGTTAGGTATTTAGTGTAGAAAACAAAATTTGTGTTTGCCTCTGTCAGAGTAATGATTTTGAAGTCAGCCCAATAACAGATTTATAAGCAATTCACACCTAAATGGTATGCCTTGACATCACCATGTACAAGACACTGGCTGGTACTTAATTTACAATGGAATGCTCGCGTACAGATGCAAAGTTGCATTGGGCATTGCACCAACACTTTAAGATATATTTCTACGATGGCAGTGCTAAAAGAGAATGAAGCTATTTATTACACATGGTTACAAAAGTACTTCAAAATTAAATGTTTGCATTTATTCTGTAAAATCTGTCAACCTCATTCAACAAATTATTAAACTCATTTAGAAAATCAAATGGTTCAAAACGTATATTTAGAAGGCAAATTATATATGTATCTATAAATCTAAGTGTCTAAGGTACATCACCACATTCATCTGAGGGAAACAAGTATGAACAATACAACTTTGCATGCAAAAAATGCATGTATGTGTAATATTTATAGTGAAGTCAAAGTAATATCAATTTTGACCAATTGCAATAATGTTTATACTTTAAATCATGACTACCTGTAAATAATAAAAATTACTATACAATACTCGTATGGCAATGTTGATTTTGTTTAATTGTTTATCACAAGGGCTTGTCAACTAACTGTAAAGTTGCAATAGAAAATATTGTTGCTAGGGCTTAACAGTGAGTTCACAAACCCATGAGATATGTGCATACCTTTGTCCTGTCTGTGTACTTCGGTCAGAAAAAAATGATGTGGCACCAGTTGTCATATGTCAATATGGTGACAAAGGAGAGCTCTTTTTAAGGGTTAGGTATTGGCTTTAGCCGGTTTAAATCCCCACAAGATGATCTGTACTCCACAGGATAGCTTGATGATCTTTTGCTTGATGGTCAAACTGCTTCTATCTAGACAAATATATATAAATATATTTAAAAAAGCTAGTATTTTCTTGTGTCCCTGAGGATGGCCCAAGTAGTTTCTCTCAGAATGTCACTTGTCCTTGTAATGGTGTTGATACCAATGATGTCATGTGGCATTATTATACATGAACTGCAGATTATGGCAAGCCAAACGTTGCAATATTAGTGAAAACGCATTTGTATTTAATATTCAATATTTGTGTTTAATAAACGTATTTTATATGCAACTTTTTATTTCATGTTATGAGTGTAATTTGAT